AGATAAATCTACAACACTCAGACGGTAATACAAACCAAGAAGCAGATAAATAAATAGTGAGGACTCAGTTGATTTATTCTGTCAAACTCCACAACAAGAAAAATAAGGGGTTAAAGTTTAAAATTTAGAGTTTTAACATCAAAATTACTGATATACCAGATAGCAACACCAAGGTCAAATAATATAAACGCTAATTAAATATTACTTCTACTCTACATTTATGGAAAAAACAATCATAAAAATCTTCCTTAATAACCAGCCATATTTATTGTACCAAACAAGAAAGGATAGATAGCAACTGATCATACTTAAGTGATCTATTTTAAAGACAAGCGAATATAATACATTATTAAACAGAAATAAATAAATAATAATAAAACCCACATCTGATGCGAATATACATACATCTGACCTAGAATAGATGGTCAAACACACAAACACACACAGATACGAGAAAAATGAGAGAAAACTCTGTTAACAATTTTATGACTAAAAAAAGATGAGATTGTAATATCTAATTCTATTTTTTTTCTACTTAACAAATAAAATATGTACACGTACAAGAACAGGTGTTTTATAATTTAGAAATAGTAAACACAACCAATTACAATCACATAGATACGTAGAGTAGGGTAGTAGGTAAGTAAGTAAGTAAATAAGCAGAGTTCATAATTCTACATATAAACACATACAAATATAGACAACAAAAATACACCATCTACACATACACAACAACAAAAATAAGAGAAATAAATATGTGTGTTCAACGTATCAATAAGCGAGAAAAAAAAGAAACATGTGCCAATAATCTATTCAAACAAACACCGATTAGTCATATTCAACAAAGAAAGGAGAATGAATAAGAAACATTTGAAATTATTTTTTATGATTATCTTAAAAAAGATAATCTAATGATTTACTGAAACCAACCAACATCCAAATCAGTTTCATAATAAATAATATGTGATTTTTGCAAGAAATGAAAACAGTTAAAAACTCATTACATGTACAAAAGATAATATTGGATTTAGTTATAGTTTTTATACTGATTTCTCAAATAAACTCATGATTATAGTTTACTAGTTAGGTTGTTCATTGAAATGTTAAGACTGTTTTGTACAATTCTATTCATTTCTGTCTAAGACACATATATTATACGATTTTTTTTTAAAAAAAAATTGTGAGTAGTCTATATTGATTAAATATCAATGAATTACAACGATTAATCAGTGAGTGAATAGTGACTAATGTCATGTTGATCTATTTTTAGTGTTGAGAGTATTTCTTCCCAGTCAGGTTGCAATCTGGCCGTTAGTTTTGATTCTAAATAGTTGGGAGTAAACCCTTGCCTTACGTTGTGTGATAGTTGGTGCTCATCCATAAAACACACAATGTTCTGTGTGAGATTTCAGTCAGCATCACCCAAGTACATAGTACATAGTACCCAGTAAGATATTTCTGGTTCACGCATTAGACTGTAATCTATACACTTAATAAAAAAGAGGTCAGTAACACTAGTTATTCGCCTGAACCATTACAAATGAATATGGGTAAGTTAATGGCTAAAACTTGACTAGTCAACTACGCTTAACCTCGAGTACTATTTTAAAATCACATACATATTTTCATTGCACACATTAGCAATATAGAAAACAAAAAAGAAACAACAGGAAATCTGAATGATATTAAGAAATAATTACCAGTTGCCATTATTCACGTTAAAAGATATATAGAAATTATATTTATGTGGTGTTTGGAAAGCTTATAACTGTCAAGAGAGATTTTATTTGACCCAAATGGCCTAGAACGGCCGAGACTGGGAAGAGTCTGCTCTCCCTCTCCAAATGCTCTAACATGGCCACGCAAGTCCTACTCACTGCCTTCTCGTGGCACCGGTGTTGTTTACGGAAGTGAGAGGACGAAAAGCGAATATCCGGCACTTTAACCGGGTCGGTGGACATGGAAAGTCCATCTAGGGGAGTTGGAAAACCCTGATTCCAAACCAATGGTGCACATGGGCTCCAGTATCCTGAGGGGACAAATGGCGTATGAACCAATCGTCGGCCACCGGCTACCATGGGACTGTATCTCCTCACGATACTCCACTGCCTTGTAGATCAGACCTTTAGGTCGAAGGCTCGGGGTGTGGCTCCCTAAACAAACCACCTGTTTTGGTCTGGGCAGCCGGGCAGTATCATAGCTCTCACACAATTAAATGAAATGACAATTTTTTGTGTTGCGCATATATATCTGGTGCTTCCTTGTATCAATATTTATGTGTTCAAATAAAAAATTATTTTGCTACCATAAAAGGAAAATAGCACAACGAGATAATAAAATCATAAAACCTTACTCTTCCAGGTTTATGTAATAAACAAGATGTACATTAACAAATTTTCATGGATCTTTCTTTTGTTTAAAGTCAACTCTAAGATATTCAGTTTTTGGTTATGGAGATCGTCGAATTTCATTAAAATTATAAACCGATCATTCTTAGACCACCACTGAAAACCTGGAAGCAATAGACGATCGTTGCCAGCCTTTCAATGGTGGTCTAACATTGATCTGTTACATGATTTTAATGAAGCTATAAAATATGATAATTTATTAGTGAATTGATGAACAGTAAGGATTCTGGCGGCGTACGAATTTTCGGTGTTTTTTGATATTGTAACCGTGATTATGTGAAATCTTATATAGGCTTATGGAAAAAATTATTTCAGTTTGAACGGAGAAACTTCTGAAATCGTAAACAGAAAACAATAAAAAAAACTGACCAAAAGTCAGTGAAAACGCTACAATTATCTAGGTTTTAGTACTTTTCTAGATTAATACTTCTTTTGATTTAGACCAGCTATTCATTCATTGACGGAAAGTATCAACGTCTGCCTCAAGGTCACGTTTGTCGTTCCTTAGGGTTTGAAATAAGACAAACTATCACTAGTCAAAACATACAAATTAATTCAAGAATTCGGAAGAACAATTAGTGGACTACGTATAGCAAAACATAATCGGGTATACCTATCAAATATTTTGATAAATACTTAATATTGTGATGATCCAATTAAAATATCATATCAGCATAGGGTTGTAGAGATTGTTGAATTTCATATAAATCAAGTACCGACCAGAGTTGAACAACTATTAAAAACCTAAAAGAACTGAACGGCCATTTCTTTCCAGAGTGGGTCTCCTCGGCAGTGCAGATCCACGATCGTAGATGTGCACTGCTGAGGAGTTTTATACTAGGATAGGACGGCCATCCAGTGCTTTCATGTTTTCAATGGGTTTCTAACTTCATGATTTTGATAAAACGCCATGATTATTACGTAGATTCCTTTAAATAAATCACCGATATATTTTTTTGACAAATATACAATTTAAATTCATAAACCAGTACTAGTTTGATAAATATCTGGAGAGGTGTGGTATTAACAAGTACAGTGCAATTTTTCATCATCATACTTTCTGAATAAACAAAATCGCATTTCCATAGCTTCCTACACATCTACTGAGATACATACAAAACTACCTTAGAAAATTCAATAGTAGGTAATAAAATAAGAATGAGAAGCGAGATAATAGTACTTATACTCACTTCCACCACTTGGTAGACTACTATCGTCTGAAACAAAACGTAATTGATGCTCTTTTAGTTCAAGTGGTCTATGTGGGTCACCACCTGATTCGGAATTTGGAATCCATAAATTAGGAAGACCGCATAATTTTGTTGAAGCCGACGGTAAAGGAGGTGGTGGATATTCAGGTGGGGGAGGAATAATATTTTCTGGTTTGTGCTCCTCTCGAATTACTGGACTATTGATGTTATGTGAAGTAAATTGCCAACTACGAGAAGCAGCATTATGGAAATCATCACACAATGGTAAATGACTGCCATTTACAGATCCTAGAAATTCTGCAGATTTCAAATTATCGCCTAGATTGAACGAATTTGCAGCAAAATTATTTTGATTATAGTCCTGTAAGAGGAGAATAAACATAAGAGAAAGTAAATAATCATCAAACCAGGTAAATTATAAACATTATATTATGAGGAGAAAGTATAAAATATATAACTCATTAGTTTGGTTATATTTGTTAGTTAAAGAGGTTAATCTATTTTTATTTTGAAAATTACAAACATATATTGAACTATGGACTGATAAATGTTAACTACTGCCAGTTGAATACATTTGAATTTACCTATTGAACGGATATTTAAGGAGATATATATTTTATTAAACTATTGGTTGCTACATAAGTAGATCTTTATCTACAGTCCTGTATCCTTCTTCCCATAAATGTTGCTCAGTTAAGCAAATAGAAAATAATATAATTCGCAGTCATAACAAACAGCCATATAATTATCAATATCAACATTTTGTCCAATACATATATTATTTAACTACCGCCGACTTACGTGAATTGCCTCTTTGATAAAATGCTTAGGTTTTACCGATTAAATTCTATAGTTAATAGCAAAAACGTTTTTAATAAATACGAAATGATGATTTAATAGTTTGCACAGTCGATTAAACCAACGTATATTTTAAAAAATTTGGTTTGGGAAACTTTGTTGGACATTAAACAACAAATAAGATTATAAATAAATTAATATATTTGTAATACCCCAATGAGTAGAAAAATTAGATTTTCTGACGTTTCGCGACGCAGTGTAAGCCACTTCTTCAGAGAATAAATAACCAAATTCACATTAATCCAAGTTCAAATAGTACAACGAACAACACAAATATTAGGTGATCAATCAGAAAACAGGATTTATTCAGCCCTGTTTTTTGATTGATCACCTAATATTTGTGTTGTTCGTTGTACTATTTGAACTTGGATTAATGTGAATTTGGTTATTTATTCTCTGAAGAAGTGGCTTACACTGCGTCACGAAACGTCAGAAAATCTAATTTTTCTACTCATTGGGGTATTACAAATATATTAATTTATTTATAACAATCTACCCAATGCTCAATTTATTCAAAATTATTAAATCAAAACTTGGTAATGATACCAACAAATAACATTGGTTAAGATATCCTAAAATAAACGAAAATTCACTTGACACTTAGTGTAGCTTGTCTACAATCTTAGCATTTTGGTATTTACACTTTAAGAGCCTATTCTCCTTACTATCATTCTTAAGTAATAAAATCCAATACATTATTTGTGAATTAACTTCACTGGTTTTTAAATTTACACGTTAACAAGGACTGCATAATATATTACAAAAGAAGAATATTATGAAACGAATACTTCTGATTCATCAGCATTAAATGAAGAGTGGACAAAAAGGATTGAACTAGTATTAGTTTAGCCACCAACTAATTAATCCAATTTTCCGAAGAAAACCAAACATTTAATGTGATTTTTCCATGAACAAATGTTCGGAAATCACTCTAAACATTAAATCAAGAAGTTCAACCTGAAATAAGAATGAAGCATGTACCTTTTTTTGTGAACAGAAATAAGTTTTAAAACCTTAGACAATCTATAATGAAACTTCACGGTCCATTCACTTTTACATATTCAGCTAAATGCCTCATCAACATACCAAATTTTTTTTGAGACATGCTCCCAACATAAAAATAGATCCTCTATAAAATTACATTAATCAGAAGTAGGACACGAAATTGAATGCGATAGAATCAAATTCGCTGGGAAAAGTTTCGGTTTTTATAAGGAAAAAACTGACAGCTGAAACCCTAAAATGATGGCCGAATCCAAACAATCCAAGTAGAGGAATCAGGGTGCAATTATATACAACGTGGAAACTAATGATTAACAAGTAAATATAAATAAAATCGACTTGAACATTTATTTTAAACTAGTGACATTCTTTCTGATGATATATATTCAATTATCAGAAGGGGGTTTTGCGGAGATTTTGGTAATTTTATAGTTGAAACCATGAGTCAATTGATAGGGCATTGGCAACTAGTCTGATCAACATAACAACACCGAAATAAATTAGGGTTGTATATGGCCAACTGTTATCAAATGAATAAATACACACAAATGTCTCTCCACTTCATCCAGTCTGAACATATGTCATAACAAATGACTCATATTTTCATATATTCAACACTAACATGATTGGACAATTGCTTAGTACACAGTTACTTTGTTATCTTACAACTGATAAACTTGATGATGAAGCTCGAACTAGAATGGTGAGTGAAACTTTTTTCATTTGATTTTATTCTATTTCTTTTTAACCTTCCGAACAATTAGACACTATTTATTGAGAAACTACTAGTCCAAATTTAGACGAAAGTTCTAATGAAATTAATGGTATAGCAATGATCCATGATTCAAAAGACAGTTTATGACTAAGACCATATATAAAACTAATTGATAAATTTCCACTGTAAATACAAGAATAATGAACCAAATAATAAATAAATAAATTTCGCATTCCCTTTTTCTCGCCTCGTTACAAAAGTATTCATTTCCTAACTTACCATATTGAAATTCTTTATTTATCAATATTTTTTTTACTGAATTGCCATTAGTAATAAAAACCTGTCAGCCGAATTGATTGTAGGTTCAACCTTAACACATTCAATTATATTTCTAGGTAATGTAGTGTACCGTTGGACGTTTTTGTCTCTTACATGTTCTTAAATTAATCAAGATTTTATGCTTATAGACCAGTTCTAAAATATTCGCAAATGATTGGAAGTGAAACAGTTGAAGCAAAAAGGCATCATATGACCAGTAAAATCTGTTTCATTGGAATAATAGAGTGTAAAAAGGAAAATTATTACAAACTAAATGATTTAATAGAAATTGAAGAGAAAAAGGCAAAAGACTGTCTTTAAAAGTTCGTAAAATATACTATGAAATAACTGGTCAAACATGGCTAAAGATTGATTAACAACACATCTGAATACAAAAGATATGGACATATAATGGTGATAAGTGATAACATATTACTAAGATATGGTAAACTTCAATATGATCTGGAAGTACTTTTGAAATAATCACAACATTCAAGCATGCGAGATTAACTGATTGGGTTCGGGGTAGTCTGATCATATATGTAAATTGAAAGGAATTTTTTTCATACATACCACTGATTAAATATGAATTCTCAACACGTGAAACTTATATATTGTCCGAACGACTTTTATTCACCTGGTAATAGCTGTTTTCATTTCATGGTGCATTATAAACCGGAAATCCTCATAATTTATTCACCATGAAATAAAAGCAAAGACAAAAAAACGAATTATGACATACCCATTATAATTATGGTTCTTCCTTATTACTGCACCGAATATTCTGTCTATTATAACGAGATTATGTACAGAATTATATGCATCTAGAATTACTTTAAGTATTATTTATAAAGTTTAGTTTTTCTCGTATTTCATCAACACCAGTGATTAACTTATCAGCCTAATCAAATAATAGCACTGAAACAAGGGCAACAAAAAGAGCATGTGAGACAAACCTATTTCCGGGCGTTTTACTAAGTGAATATGAATCATACAGGAATAAGTAGATTTGCTCAATTATTCATTATTGTTATTGTATAATAAGCCCACCCAAGGCATAGTACCAGCAATATAAAAAGTTAAACTACGTACACGAATATGGAATAAGTCAAGAAAGAGAGAAGAACGCCATAAGCACATACTATGAGTTACAAATCAATAGAGGAAAAACATCAAAGGTTAGCTACTTACGTACAACTTGTACATTTCCTCTGTTAGAATAAAATAACGATGAGATAGGATTTAGAAAAATCGTTGTAAACTAACCAACCAAAGAAATAAGATATGACTCACGAACTAGATGTGCATGCATCGTACACTTCCGAGACATATAATGACCCTGGAATTCAACGTCTAACGCTCGTAACCAGTGCTTTCGATCAAAGTAATGAGTTATGACAGGCGCTTCTGGTACACTGAAAACCAGTTGTTTCTAAAGCATCGAATCTCTAGTAATTAAGCCACAGGAATGAATTAACTGATGTTTCTCAGACTCTCTTGGAGTCACAGTATGATCCAAAAACAAGAAAACAAGTTAACCTGGTGTCTACATTCCAAAAGTTGTTTTATAAAGTTCTAGTAAAACAACGGAACATAAAAAGATTATTTGAATGGCTTTTGTAAACACATTAGTTCTTGAGTCATCCTTAACACGATTTGGACCCCTAGTTTGTGCAGAACTACAGAAGAACAAATTTCTCAATATTTTCAACATCAAGCTGTCAGAATTAAGAGATAAAAATTCGGAAAATTTTGCTTATGATCATTTTCCGTCAATCATGAAGTTAAAAGCTGATGACTACATAAACGCCCATGGAAACTAACTTCAAGTATCGAGTATTTCTGTGCAAACTAACAGCATCATGCGAAATGAATCAAAACTCTTATTTATTCATTTAAACATGAATATTGGTACAAGGGGGTACCAGATATATGTGCTACACAACAAAACTTTAGAATTCATTAAGGCATCAGGAAATTGTATCTAAAACTACTGCATTAAGGCATTTGGAACACTTTTTTCATAATCCCACTAATATTTTTTTGTCACTAAACTTTTGTTTTAATAAACCAGTTAGTTATTTCATTTTCCGGGGAAGGGGTTTAAAAAAACAGCTAGTAAAATTCAAACAATATGGAATATTGGGACCAATATTAAATTGGTCTACCATGTAGTACACCGAAAACCTATAAACTAAGAAAGAAATGTGCCATATGAGTTTTGGCTTCACTCTGAAAACCTTTAACTAATGATAATTGAATTGCAGCCTCCAAAAGGAACCAGAAAAAGTCGAAAATAGCTTACATAATTAAAAAGTTTCATCAGGTACAAAGATAGGAAAGGTCTTTCTAAAGGTGATTACCCATTTTAATAGTGCGTTAGATAATTTTAGGTTTTTTTGGAAATATCCAAAGGTTACAAAGCTTTGATTTTCAATTGCCTTTATTTGTAGAATACTATATTTCATGACCAACACGTGAACAAAAGAAATCTACACTTTAAAGATAAAAACAAAATAAATGCAGAGAAAATAGGAGATGATATGGGAGTTTATAAAGCATCTTGAATATAAATCAGTCTACTTTCTACATCCCACTCGCATCAGCTAGATAGTTTCTAAACAAAGTCATAACACCTAAAGTGATGAAAAATGTGTAAAATTGTATTTTTAAGGTCAGTAAATTAATTAATTTTAACACTGGGAAACTATATATATATATATATATATATATATATATATATACATATATATATATATATAATATTGAAGGCATTTTTGAAAGGAAATAATGTACATATTAAGTCGACTGGTTCGCTTACATGACAACCTTAATTATTATAATAATTCTATAACAAGCTGACGACCTCACTTATTCAATAAATCAACAAACAACATTGAGTTTTTTACTTTTTAAAAATCACTGAAATAGCGGATGTAGATTTTATCCTTTCCGATGTTTTCATTAAGATATACTAGTGCATTACACCACGACCTACAACGTATTGTTTGCTAAACTACAGTCACGACAATCTTATTGTTGTAATTAATTTCCATTAAGTTTTACGTCTTGATTAGATATTTATTGAAACAAACGTATATGCAGTACTAAGACACACAGTGCTTTGTATGTTGTGACTCAAAAAATGCTATGCTTTTGAGGTATCTACACTTCGACAAAGTAGAAGTTTATGATTGCCATTACCAGAAGTGAATTTGTAGCTTGCTAGTTAAAGTGCTCGACTTTCAGACACTGGGGTCAGATTCTACTTTCATTGCACATACTTTATTTTCGGTAGTAAAGTAGTGTCATTAGCGCTAATATAAAGTGTAACTGAAAACGTAGTAAGTGGTTTATCTCTAGCAACTAGGACTTCAAAAGAATTATGAAAGCCTAGGAAAACCATTCAGCTTATGTATTGTAACGTAACATCCTTGGACAAACTACACACTTAGATAATAAAATATACAGAGAAAATAGTGTACAATACCTTATTTTACACTGACAAATTTGTAAGCAATATCCAATCATTACAAAACTTAATGCTGATAAACATACGTAAAAACGAGTATGTTCTCGTATAAAGTGATTCGAACAATTTGTATTTTAATTTCAATAATCAGTCTTATGTGATAGTGGTAAAAATAAATATGCGCATATATATTTATATGTGCGCAGTACGAGAAACCTAACTAGGTCATTTTAATCAATATGGTACCCATTTTATATTTACTATAGTAAAACAACCATTATTTGTGTAAATAGGGACTGTTCATATTTCTCCTAAAAAGAAAACTAGAAATCACAGAGACGAAAATATAGTCAAAGATTGTGGGGATCCGGTGTTCGCACAGCAGTCACGGACATGAAACTCAAAATACTTCCTTAAGACTTTACCTCAATTGTACATAGCTCCAAGCTGTTAGATTACTAGCTCACGCCTTATTTTAGTTTTTCATAGACTGCTAACCCCAACACAATGGCTGACGTTACATAAGAGGGATGATTTTGCTGTTTTAAGATGTAATTAAAAATTAAAACCTAAACTAATACAACCTAATTTATTTGGTATCTAATAATAATTGGCAGGCCAACATGCGACTCAAGTAAGTCCTCAATCATAATGAAAAATTAAATAGGCCAACTCACTATTTAAACTAATCACTGACACACACAACCTTAGTGATATATGATCAGGATGAACAGGAACAAGGGGGTTAAATCGAGGGATTTCATGCTGATCAAAAAGTACTCAGGATAAAGACCCTATATTTACTGATAAATATATGCTAAAAAGTGGATAGAATATAAGTACATGTTTCCTTTGTAGATTTGCAAATAATTGTACTAAATATCACAAAAATAATAAAATTATGACATTTTAATTTCATGTTCGGATTAAATTTGCATCAAAAGCTAGTAATGTTTCACACATAACATTCATTAAAGTTTGTTTATTTGTAAGTGAAAATCCAACGTCTATAAAGAAGAAAATTTAATCCGATCATTACCAAGTAATATGATTCAACAAACACGTAGAGTTTTAGTTATCAAGAATGATCCACGTTAGTTGCCCGATGACAAATAATACTGATTTATTTAAATCTTAGTATAGAGAATTGGAACGGAATTAGGAAACCTCCAGTTCAAGTTATTAGATCACATGATTATAAACCATAAGATGTATAGCAACATGTCACGAAGAGAATCAGTATGTAGACTGCAAAGCCGCAAAAAATTCTACTTCGACAAAATACTTTGAAATGAAAGCAAATAATGGGAATATACAAGATTATAATTAATTTTATCGGATTCTGAATAGGGGGATAACCATACTGGACTGTAAAATCGAAGTAGTCCATGAAAACATTTGCTCGAATATATGACTTTTTATGAATCCGTCAAAAAATAGTTGATTATTCGCTTGAATTTGTAATCACTTATAAATTTCATCGGTCGAGAACTTTTCTAAATTGAATCTAAAATAACTTGGATATGTGATTTGGCCCCTTAAAATATCCACTCGCTCCCTTCAGGCAAGCGTTTTGGAAGCAATGGTTTATAAGCTAGCGCTTTCACCTCTCAACCAATACGTCGCACGTTTAAACCTCATTCTACATATTTCAGTTTAGAAACCTGAGTAGTACAACTGCATTTCATATAAACAGTATAGCTGGAAGCCAAGTATGTAAACCCATACTTTGCATTTATTTTAACGCTTATTTAGACAAATACATAAGAAATAAAAGAAAAACAAAAACTTTGATCTGAAATAGAAACGCGAAATTTCTACACAACTCACTTTTAATTTCGTGCACAAATTACTATTGTTATGCATCGGTATAACACTTAGTGTTCCACTATGTTGATTGCAATGATCAATTACTTCAGTTTTGTGAATATTGAATACTGAACAACTTGCATACGCGGGCACAGTATCCTCTGAAGTGAATTTCTGTGGATCAGCGGATTTGTCTAATTGGTTTGACGCATAACGATCTGGTAGCGACAGTAAATGTAAAGAGTTGTTTTGGTATGCAAGTTTCGGTGTACATAAATTTGAGTGACAAGTCGGAGGTACTGGGAATGGTATATTTATTGAATCTGGTAATTTCGGTCTGCTAATTGGATTACTTTGATTTGATATATTTTCTTCGACTACGCCATTTTGGCTTAAGATAGTTGCGTTGCTACCGGATGCTGTAGTCATCTTTAATACACCTGGAGGCAAATAACTAAGGTTATTAGAACACACAGAAGGGTCACTGTTAGCATACACCTCAACGTCTTCATTACCAGTTAAGTACTCAAATAGAGGTGATACTGCATGTACACATCCTGTAGAAGTTGCTTCATTTTTACCAGAAGGAGAACGTAAAGTCATTAGTTTGTGTTCAGAAACAGGTTTTTCATTATGTAACTTAGATTGGGATGAGTTCAAACGATGGAGTGGACGTCCCGTTTCCACCTCTTGTTGCTCACTACTCATTAAAACGGTTCCCAAGTTTCTATCGACAATGGAGTGATTTCCTGACTTGTTTTTGTGGAAAGTTAAAGAGGTACAGCACATTCCGAAACTTATTCCATGTAGAATATTTCTCCGAAACGTTTTCTGATGCTGTGCATCTATGTTAGAACCGTTAGCAACAAAATACTTGGCTGAAGATTTTAAAAACTGCTTTCTTGGAGTCTGACGGATGACAAAGTGAATAAACAAGCCAAATAAAATCCAGAAGACGACAAAACCAAAAAGTAGGATATAACCCCACACAGGGAAATCAAAATGTCCTAAATAATTTAATTCATAATCAGAAGACTTAATAGGATTATGCAACCCAGCAGCAATAGATCGGAGATGATATCCAGAACTACGTACTCCCTCTCCTTTACAGTTTATTCCAGATATATAAATAATATAATCAACGAAGGGATTTAGGCCATGAATATTTTTTGAATGGATCTCTGCAGATACCTGAAAATAACAGAAGAACCACTTTCAACGACTTTTATTATTTATTTATTAAGATCATCGTCTAAAAAATATTATGCTGAATAAAACCATAATTTTGCATTCAACTATATGGGAATTAAATAGGTAAAATCTAGTGCTATATTACTTTGTTCGCAGATGAAAAACAATTTTATGCGATCCCGGACCAAGCCACTTTGACAAGTGGTCCCTCACAAGCCCAGTCTTTGGTTAGTTAAGGAATACGAAATGTAATTCTCCGGTCATGAAATTAAAGCAACACCGTCTACCCGAATTCAGGCTACCAAGTAACATAATTAGCTATAACACAAAAGATGTGGATAATAGTACATGGGCACGTGCAGTTATTGATATGAATCCGACCTAAGTGTACCTGTGAAAGTATATGGACCCCAGTGAGGTTACGTTAGTTTACCTAAAATGAATCGATACCTGGAGAATAGAAAGCATAAAAGCAAGTCTGCCAGGTACTGAATAATATGGAATTAATTGAAAAATACTATAGGACAGTGTATGATGATTTTTCGCCTAAGCTGATATGGATAAGTTTCAGTAAGACATAATATTAAAAAGCAAAATAATAAGGCCTTATCTCATTTTAATCTGTTTACCGTGATCCATTCTGATACTTTAATCTTATTTTTATCGCGAGTCAAAACCTTAAAGCATGTTTCCGTACTTTTCAGGGGTTTTTTTGTATAATGTAGTGATACTACCATACTACTTAAAATAAATTAGTTGGGGCGTTTCCAGTTCGAAATCTAATCGTTTAAAATCAGATGCCTTAATCACTAGGCTACGTATGCTGAGATCCCATAGTAGCATTCAAGGTTAATAACTAGCCCCCAAATGCCCTGGTACGGCCGAGAGTGGGGAGAGTCTACTCTTCCTCTCGAAATGCTCTCACATGGCCAGCGAGTATATAGCCTCTGCCAGGGAAGTCCTACTCACTGCCTTCTCGTGGCACCGGTGTTGTTTACGAAAGTGAGGACGAAAAGCGAATGTCCGGCGCTATAACCGGATTGGTGGACACGGAGGGTCCACCTAGGGGAGTTGGAAAACCCTGATTCCAAACCAATGGTGCACATGGGCTCCAGTATCCTGATGGAACAAATGGCGGAAGAACCTATCATTGGTCAACGGCTACCATGGGACTGCATCTCCTCACGATGCTCCACTGCCTTGTGGATCAGACCTTTAAGTCAAAGGCTCGGGGTGTGGCCCCCTAAGAAAACCACCTGCTTCGGTTTGGGCACCCGGGCAGTATCACAGCCCACACACAAATGAATGAAATGATGAACTCTATTGACGATAATATCCCTGCTCATACTAAAAGCAAGACAATTTACATTATTATTATTATTACCTTTATTACTATTATTATTATTATTATTATTATTCACCATATCGCTAACTCACCCCCTTTTATCCCCAATTTGTGTAACTTTACTTTTCAACTTATGCAGCAGCTCGCCCATGGTGGAAAATCTGTCCTATCTAAACGATCTAAAGTCACTGTCTGGTTGAAAGTGAATGCTTCCACCGATAATGAATACTGAAGCAGTCTTTCTGAAACCACGTACGCCGTTCAAGCTGACTTCCTTCAACGTTCGCACACTAATGCATATCAGACAACAGATAGGGCTGGCTATGTCTTTGGAAGGTCTTAATGTTGATGTTTGTTGTCTATCCGAGACCCGTATTCAAGACTCTAGTGAAGTACTACAAATCCGCTCTCCATCTGTCGCCTCGAAAAGCATGTTCCATGTGCGCTTATCCGGGGACCCTGTGGCATCTTCGTCTGGTCTTGCTGGCGTTGGTGTCGCACTAAGCGCTAGGGCTGAGGCAGCACTAATCGATTGGATCCCCATTAACAGTCAGTTATGTGCTGTTAGATTAGAAAGTTCCATCAAAGTGAGAAGAAACCGGCGTGAGAAACGGTGTCTTTTCGTCATCTCCGCCTATGCCCCGACAGATTGCAGCCCGGATGCAATCAAGGATGAGTTTTACCATCAGTTAACAGTTCTTCTCCAGAAAGCGCGTTCGACAGATATTGTAGTACTAGCCGGAGACTTGAATGCACAGGTCGGGCGTCTAGTCACAGAAGAGAGTCGCCTAGGTGGCCGATGGGGACTTGTTGGTCGCAGGACAGATAACGGGGACCGTTTGCTGCAACTGTGCACAGACCACAACCTGCTTCTGGCCAGCACTAACTTCCGGCACAGCCATCGCCGGTGTGCCACCTGGCGTCCTCCCTCTGCATCCCAAGCCTGGACTCAGATTGATCACATCGCGATCAGCTACCGCTGGCGTGGTTGTGTACAAGGCTGCCGCTCCTTTTGGAGTACCTATCTGGAGTCTGATCATGACCTGGTCTGCGCCAATCTCACCTTACTTTTCAGTGGCCGAAGGATTGACCACCACCAACGGATCAATGTTAGTAAACTGGCTGCAACTTCTGTTGCAAGTAAGTATCGAGCGGAGCTAGCCTCTAGGCTAGCTACCACCCCACCGAAAAGTATAGATGAGCATTGGTTGCATCTTCACGACGCCATGAAAATGGCGAGTAAAGCCGCTTGCGGCTTCGCGAAACGTCCCGCTTACAAGCACTGGGTTTCTTCTGGCTCCTTACAACTGATCGAAGCCTGTCGATCTACTCCGGGTGACCGTGAGTTTGACCACAAACGAAGGCTGTTACGTAATGAAATCGGGCAAAGCTTGCGTAAGGACCGGGAAGCCTGGTAGTCGGAGCGTGCTAATGAGATGGAAGCAGCAGCTGCATCTGGTAACTGCCGGAAGCTCTTCCAACTCATCCGAGCCACTGGCAGCAAGAAGTCTGGTGTGAGTGAAACAATCTACGAGGATGACGGGATGCCAATCACTAACATCTCTCGACGTCTTGGACGATGGGCGGAATTTTTCGAAGGGCAGTTCAACTGGCCTGCTGCTCCGGCAACATCAACCAGCTTGTCCTGCCCCCCATGGCCGGTGACGACTGATCCACCAAACGAGGCGGAAGTCCGCAAGGAATTCCAACTCTTGAAACGTTACAAATCACCGGGTCCAGATGACTTACCTCCGGCTCTTTTTAAAGATGGTGGTGACTTTCTGACTAAGGAATTGACTGTGTTGTTTGGAAAGGTTTGGGAGCAAGAAAGTGTTCCAACATCTTGGAATGAGTCAATAGTCGTCCCTATCTTTAAAAAGGGTTCACGTTGTTCCTGTAGCAACTATCGGGGGATAAGTCTACTTTCGATTGCGTCCAAACTATTGGCTTCTATCATTCTTCGTAGGTTGTTTAAAACCCGAGAACGATTGACTCGCGAGGAGCAGGCTGGTTTTCGTTCTGGTCGAGGATGCATTGATCACATCTTCACCCTCCGCCAAATGTTAGAACACCGTCATACTTATCGCAGGCCAACAATCGTAGTGTTTCTTGATATCAGGGCGGCCTTCGATTCGTTGGACAGGACTGTTCTCTGGGATTGTCTATTGAAGAAGGGTGTGCCTGAGAAGTTCATTAACATCTTAAAGGCCCTGTATACGAACACCTTAGGCAGAGTGAGGGCATACAACCACCTTTCTCCCTTGTTCCATTCAAGCAGTGGGGTTAGGCAGAGTTGCCCGATCTCACCATTCCTCTTCAACTTTGCCATCGACGACATCCTGGAAACAGCTCTGGTGGATGTAAGTAATGGTTGTGTGGATATGTTGCCTGGAGAACGACTTCTCGACCTTGAGTATGCGGATGATATTGTCTTACTGTGCGATAATGCCCAAGGCATGCAATCAGTGTCCGCAGGTACGGCATGTGCTTTGCACCCTCCAAGTGCAAAGTACTCCTACAAGACTGGCAGGATTCTCATCCTGTACTCACCCTCGATGGTGAGGAGATCGAAGTAGTTGAGAAGTTCGTGTATCTAGGTAGCTATATAAGTGCTGGTGGTGGCGTGAGTGATGAGATTGATGCACGTATAATGAAAGCCAGAGCGGCTTATGCCAATCTGGGCCATCTTTGGCGCCTTCGTGATGTTAGTCTGGCTGTAAAAGGTCGGATCTACAACGCGTCGGTGAGAGCAGTTTTGCTCTATGCTTGTGAAACCTGGCCTCTCCGAGTTGAGGATGTTAGACGTCTCGCTGTGTTCGATCATCGTTGTCTCCGAAGGATTGCTGACATACAGTGGCAACACCATGTTAGTAATGCAGAGGTTCGGCATCGTGTGTTCGGGCGCAGAGACGATAATTCAATTGGTGTCATCATCTTGAAACACCGACTTCGGTGGCTTGGACATGTTTTACGAATGTCGTCCCAGAGAATTCCACGTCGTGCATTATTTGCCGACCCTGGGACTGGTTGGAAAAAGCGGAGAGGAGGTCAGTGTATGACATGGTGTCGTGGTATGAAAGAAAGCTGCAAAGGGCTAGCTTCTGTTGGTCCTTCACGACTCCCTGGTTGGGGTCCGAGAGATGGTGCAACACAGTGGCTAGAGACGTTATCAGATATGGCTCAGAATAGAAGCCAGTGGCGATCCTGCTGCAACCTTCTTTTACTTTCTACATAAAGAGTGGTTCTAACTTTCTTAACTGAAAGAGTCTTCTGGTTGTACATTTCAGTCCGCCTTATCTTTTCATCCCTTCTCTTCCTACTTTCATTATTTTGTGTGGCGCATATGTACCTGGTGCTCTTTTGTACCAATATATATGTGTTTAAATAAATAAAAAATAATAAAACTACCCCCTATCCTGTGAAAACGCAAATGAGACTTACAGCAACTAAAACACAAACATAAAAGTTCAGGTCTCAGCATAAGTTATCCACGACATATATAAAATATTTGTATATTCACTGTAACCAATAAACTGTGCAGTAACATTCAATTACTATTTTTACTACTGTAAGGTATTGTTATCATGAGTAGCGAGAAATGTTTATATTAGACGTAAATTGTTAAATATGTTAACAAAGATTACACCATTAATCTCAACTTCCCAAGATATCTATTACTCATATTGAACTTCTTTCTATTTCACCTTGCAGAATTTTGGGGACGAAAATAATGAGAGAAAATTCAATGGCCAAACTAATTTAGATCTGTAATCCTTATGACTGATGGTACCTGTGATGAAAAGGACTGTAGACTTTCTGAGAAAGGATTGAAAAACTTTTGTGATATGGTTCCAAAACAGTTAAGATGATGAGAATCAGTATAGTAACGCATATACGCGGTAAAAGTACTCAGAAAACACAAACGGTCCAAGTTGTAACCGTTAAAAGCAAAATTAGAAAAATGATAATGAAGATTTGACTAGAAAATTCTTAAATTTTGAAATATAAGACTAAGACCGTGCACAAATTTACCAGATAAAATCACTTACATGAAGAGAACGACTGAACTGACTTTCGTTCGCCAGGATATGTACTGCATATCCTAACAGTGCACCATGAGCCATTCTTAACTCAAGCGGTTTCCATGATAATCGAATACTTTCAGATGGATATGTGGAAGAGTTGATTATCCGACTTCCTGTTATTTGTTCAGAATTTAAAGGACTAACATGAAGAAGCCATTCAGCGCTTATTAATTCTGGTGAGGAGCTGGGTGGTGCATCAAGAGTCAAAGCCAACTCGGATCGACTAGATCTGCTTAGAATACGACCGTATGTTGGATCATCTTTGAAGGCTTCAATATCCGTCTCATAGCAGCTGAAAGGTGACAGATCACCGATAACAGCCTTAGCAACCGGATGATCTCGAGATACAGACTTCATGATGATTATGTTTTGAAATGAGTGATCCGAGGTTCCAACATATATTACATCTTTATCACTCACTGATAATGAGTTTGCATTAGCCATTAAAACAGTTTGTTCGAGAAGCTTAGGGGATGTGAAAGAACAGTGAACTGAACTAGTAAATGAAAAATCCCCATGATTAGTATCATAAATATCCAACGATCCTGAATCTCCAATGTTTTCTCGGAAGGTAGACAAATAGTTTGGTGGTTTAGATGTAACGGCAGCTATGCAACGTGACATTGGAACTGATCGCACATTTATTTTGAAACCATCAATACGCCTGAGCACTTCATTAGAAGACCGTGCAGCCCAGCTAACCAAAAGTTCGGAAGATGTGAGGGGTCGGATTGATATACGATGTAAATCGATGGATTGGAATGTTGAAACCAGCTCCTGAAAATCAACAGCTGTTCGACCACCAGCAAGAAACGAATCAGGATGCTTGATCGTCAAATCAGAAACTGTCCTGTTACTAATTGTAACATGCGAAAATATAACTTCAGAAGGCTTTTTTACAGTATAAACTATATAAGGTACTAGAGCTCCTGAGCTCATTCCAAAACTATTAACTTTTCTAACTTCAACCCAGTATCCAGTATCAGGTACTAGGCCTGTTATACGGACTTGTGTATGGTAAGTTTTTTCAATTGCAGTGGACCAGGTATCCAGTTTAAAGGGTTTACTACTAGGCATCTGTGTTTCATCTGACTTCATATGATCACTGGCAGTCTTGGTCTGCTTTAAGTCCTGAAAATGTTGATCTGAGTGAACTGCTGTCTGAGAATAAATCTGCGGTAAAATGTAAACTTTGTAGCTTGTTGACTCAGAAGAACTGTTGTCAGACCAATTTAAAACTATCCATGTATCACCAACACTAACAATTCTTACATTTTCCGGAGGTGAAGGTAACTGGGAATAGGTACGAGGTTGATATATTGAATCGTTATGCCCTTTCAAGTTTATGGTAAAAGAGTACTGCGCGAACCGATGGCTTACTTTTCGGTATACGGAACAAGTGTAGTTTCCTGCATCATGTGGCCGAAATGGATAAATTAGTAAAGAACCATCTGCCTCGATTGAAATCCGAGAGTTTGGTGAACTTGGTTTATGAATGAATTCGCCATTGTTAAGCCATATTATGTGTGATTTTGCGCTAACGTCGGGTTCTTTAGAAATAGATTGAGTTCCGTGTGAATGATTGAATACAGGATCCAACGGAATTCCACATAGTATTCGTACTGCTGTTGGACTGTGGAAAATTTTGCCGAAGATATGAGGAGTTGAGACAGCACCCACACGACCTGGAATTAATTTGGAATTAAACAGAACTTGAATATCTGTCAGGCTCCTACTAAAACCAGTAGGAGACGAAGCGCGACATTCATACGTAGAAGTATCTTCCGGCCTGGCAGTAAGTATAATAAGATTCCCAGAACTCGTGACGTAAATGCGCTCAGATACAGATACAGTTGGGATGAAATACGTTTTAGTTGACCACTGCAACCAACGAACATCTGGGGATGGGGAGCCAGTCACACTACAAAACAACTCAACCCGGTTGCCTTCATATGCGTATATTTTACTTGGAGGTGTGACAACCAAACCTGGAGGTGTAACAACATTTATGTAAGCGACTGCTTCAACAATCCCTGTCGAACTAACTGCCCGACAAATATAATATCCAGAGTCATCAGACTGAACACTTACAAAACGAAGTGTTCCACCTAGAAGCAGCCGAACACGTGAGTACGGAATACTAGGGACCGAAGGTTCTCTACGCCAAACAACGACAGGGGATGGCTCCCCAGCAGCACGACAACTCAGTTCAAATACACTATGCACTGGCACTGATTGACTTTTAGGTGAGACAATAAAGTACGGGCGCTGCCGAACAGTAAGATAAGCCTTGGAACTTTCCCTGCGGTAAGCAAAAGATTTGGCTACGCAAGTATAGTGACCAGAGTCTTGCCACGTTATTCTGTCGATCCTTAAACTCCCAACATCCATAATCTGTAGTCGATTGTTGGGTAACAGAGAAGAGTTTTCCTTTAGCCACTCAATAGTAGGACTGGGTAGCCCCAAAGGAGGAACACATTCCAATAAAACTGTATCCCCAATATTCGCCACCTTGTTTTGAGGCTCTAATTTAAACTTCTGGCTAAGAAATGAAATTCGGACACTTGCTTTCTTGGACTGAATCCAGTGAAGGGAATCCGATGCATTGCAGTAATAATCACCCTCATTTTCACTAACAAGAGTAAACCCATATGAAGAATATACGCCATCTTCAGTCACTCTAGTGGAACCGCTTGCAACAGAAATATTGTCTAGCTTATGCCATGTAATCGTGATATTTGGAGACCCTACAGCTGAACAAACAAGAGTAATTTGCTGATTCTCTAGCCCGTACGTATCATTTGGTTCATCAACAAATTCTATCTCATGACTCGGAATCGAAACAAATATTAATATAACTAAAGTTGATAGAAAACTAGCACCAATACTCATACCACTTGATATCTGAATTGTGGTGCGCAACTCGATCAGTTGGTTGTAATGGTCGTTGGAGTAGATCCTACGAAGAGATGCGTATAAAATATCGTCCCAGCTAGGTTCTCAGTAATTGAAACTTCCAAATTAATGGTAGTGGCCAAACCAGCAAATAAATCAGTAATCCTAAACCAAATGTCACCCCTAACTCACAGTAATGTTACCGTTACTGAATGCTCAACCAAACTGTGCGGTTTTGAAGTCAACCTTACACCGCGACATGCTATAACAAAAGCGCCTCATTAAGTGCCACATTAACAGTCATCCATTTAGTTTGAAGCTTTTGTTAAGTCTCGTCTCTCATGTTCCCTGCAATCAGATTTTTAAGTTCTGTTGTTAAGTATCGGTTTTGCCAGATTACACTCACAGTTATAAAAATGTCAAATTTCCTCCTTTTTAGGGTTTAGAAAAAGCTAATTGAACTTCACAATCAAGGATAAACAATATGTTACTCTCATAAAAGTTGAATACCTGCGGTATTTTATCTCTCTCACTTATGCGGTCGTACAATTATTTACAAAATGTACTATATATCTTCCTACGAAAGAAGACTTCAAGCTATGAAGAGAAAGTTCCGCGTTACCTTATAAATTTGCTGTTTATATCTGTATACTAGCACTAATCATCGATCTAAGGGTCAGGTTGCTATTTCGACTTTAGAAACCTTGTATAACAGATTATACATGGTACCTAAGGAGATAAGTCTTGAAGTTGATGATCTTTATTTGGCTGAATAGCGTTTATTTTGGCTGGCCCTTGTACGAAGTCCCTCGTTGACATTTACATATTTATTATAAATGGATTAGAAGTGGTGTTAGTGTTACGCGAATATGAGCACGATTTTCACCGATCACTTTGTTATTTTCTTTGACGTCGTATAATCAGTCTTGGTTATGGTCACGTTATATAAGCCGGTCAGGGAGCTACTATCAATTGTTCGATGTTGCTGCTAAAGTAGAAATTGTGACTGTTGAAGTAACTGTTGAGTCTTAAAAACATCTGCAGTTTTTTTACTGCTTGTATAAGTCAATTGTCTTATTCTTAATCCCAACAGTAACGCACGGTGAACATTGGTGATTAGAATTGTTTCGTAACTGAAAAATACTACTCAATTCCTAATTATCCACGCGAAGTGAAGCAGATCTAACAATGGTGAGTGGTTGATAAAACCTAGTTGTTTGCACTAGACGGAATAAAGTGTTTCTAATTATTTGTCAGAACTCAAACTAAATACTGGTCCTGGAACTGAACTATCATTAAGGAAACTCAAGATGGACCGTAGGAACTAAATATAGTGTGTTGTGAATTATAACAGTGAAACATGCCTCATATGATGAAAGACTGAAGTGCAAAGTGGCATTAATTTTCGGTAATTTCGGAAATTAATATGGTCGTTAAGTTGTAGTGGATCCAGTAATTTGTCTAGATATCAATTGCTCTTTTTTACAGTTAAACGTCTGAAATCGTATATTATAAATTGACTTGGTGGTTACCCCGTCTCCAATAATAAGAAATCTGAGATAGACAGAGTGTTCGACCTCACAAACGTGAGTGGATTGAAATCACTGTCTTCACAACCAATGTTTGCTATTCAGGAACTCCAACCTCCTTCCATTATTAAGGTTAGGCTCTTTTTAAGTGGTAGTTGCTGTTGTCCTAACTCAAGTCCTGTGCTTCATATTCTGCTAGAAAACACTATTTCTACACGTGTCATGTGTAAAAATGTCGAACAGTCAAGACCGGTAGACTGTTGCCAGAACACCAGAACGGTTTTGTATAAAATCATGGGTTTTTTAAATAAAATGTGCGAATGTATTGTTTTCAAGGTATTAAGTAGGGAAATCACAATCGATGATCTAGCAGGAAAGTATAAGGAAAAATGGAAAGCTAATAAGGAGCAAATAAGGAGGGACTTATACTATGCTATGCTCGATAGTGCCTCTTATAGACGATTGTGAGGGTCGCAGATATTTCACCCCCGTAATCTTCAGTTATATCAGTCATTATTGACTTGTGGTGAGAGGTGGTCTTAAGGCTCAATGTGTGCAATACCATCTGCAGTTAGAGAACATGTTGTGGGGAACAAGAGGAAACTCAAAAAGATGCTTTTCTAGCTATTAATAATGAAAGTAAGTTACTCAGTATACAACAAAAGAAAGGAAACCAAACCGAAACACGCATTGTTGTGACTGAGAAATGTTGACAGTGATTTATAGGGTCTATTCAGTGGTTGGATGTTGTGTGATGAGTGATGTGGCCATGGGATGGTCACTTTGTCACAAATCCAGGTTTTCAGTGGCCAATCATGGAACGTACTTTGACTTACGTAAGCTACGCCGAGGACGTGTGGGACTCCGAATTGATCCATTAACCAGCGACGTGAAGAACTTAAGAACAAAACTTGCCTCTTGTAACGAAGTACAGCACTCTTAGTGGTGCGCAAGATCTCGGATGTACATTGGCACACTACACGCCGATAATTCACTTTGGTAAATCTATCAAGGCAACTGCTTTAAGTGACTGTATAACAATTATTGGACTACCGAAGTGAGGGTGATTTAGTCTTATATCATTTCCCTTCATGAATTCGTTAGGCGTCCACTGAAACTGCATCCACGTGGAAGCTTACGAATATCGCAATAGATATTTTAGATTAGTCAACACTCAACGAAGGTTTACAATACCCAGTCTTAGAATTCTTTACTGATTAGTTGGATTTTTACCGTTAGTCTGTAGCTCCAAGCACTGAGGCCTAACATTGAGGAATGAACTTTTGGCACATATTCAGACGTATGACCCGATAATCCATAATAACCCGTGTTAAATGTTGCTACTAAACAGATAACCTGTGGTATTAGTTTGAACTAATGATTCTTTTGTACTTGATTAGCCACTGATTTTGAATTCCAAATCTAATACGTTTATTTTTGCTCACCTAATTCCATTTTCTCTATAATGAACCATTTAGAAATTTCTAGGTAGTTCAATAATTTGAATATTGACGTCGTGATGGAACCAAGACTTGAAAAATTGGATGTTAATTCATGTGTTGGCGTCTTCGAATACGATATGGAGCGGTCTGAAATGTAGTTCATGGCCAGAAAAGATATTAAAGGTGATAAATCTACAGCTTATTTTCCGACTTTCATTGGGAAAGACGCTAATAATCAGCCAGAGAATCCTGGAAAAACCAATATTATTGTCATATAAATCTCCCAAGGGGTTGCTAGTTAATCATGTACAGTGTGTTAGCTTTGGATGCGGAGACATATCAAAGCCTCATCAAGTGACGCAATAAAAGTCATAGACATTATAATTGAGTTACATAAACTTGCAGCAAAATGCAATTTTTGTGACCGAATAGAAACTCAACTCCTTGATCTGTTGATTGCTGGGATAAATATTCCTCATTTAGAAGGATAATTAATTCCGAAACTCAAACGATTATGCCAAGAAATAAAAACAGCATGTATTAGTTATGAGGCAATGCATGAAATTGGCTTCCAGGACATCGAAAATTTCAACAGTTCATTGAGGAATCGCAAAGTGACTCACGTTGATGAGCACAAATTTGGTAGATGTTTGTCCTGCGGTAAATTTCATCCTCGTGATTCACGTGCACTTCGTAATGTTAAATATCATAAGTGTGGTAAAACTGGACACATCAGTCAGTTTATAAAACTACCGTGCATTTGACTACAGGTAAAACCAAATATTGTCATTCAGATCCTAATAATTTGGGTGCTTCTAATGGTCGTATATTGTCCTCATTTACAACACCCATATTCGAAAGCGATCTTATGTCAGACCAATGATGCTTTTCACGATTTTATTGTCGGCAGTGGCAGTACTAAGTTCATAATTTTGGTTGGGAAGTTGAAGCCATTAAGTCCTGATGCTAAAATTATGCCTACCAAAGTTTCCATCTCGAGTAGCACTGGTCATTAACATTCTATTGCTGAATGTTGTAATATTTTAAGCAGAGATGATAAATCCACAATTTCTAATTGTGGATCATCGAAGTGCAAGAATTTACACACGATTTCAACGTTACAACAAGTGAATATTTCGTAAAGAATCAGATGAGTCTGTTTCAACTTTGGCTGTCAATTCTAATACTATTGAAAACTTCCCGAATCACACAGAGTCCAAATTCATTACACAGTCTGACACACACACGATGAACCAAATTGAAAATAATACAACTAATTTCAGAAATTTGGATTCTCATTGAAGCTGTAGTGGATATGGTATTTGCCCCCAAATGCCCTGGTACGGCCGAGAGTGGGGAGAGTCCGCTCTCCTTCTCGAAATGCTCTCATATGGCCAGCGAATATATAGCCTCTGCCAGGGAAGTCCTACTCACTGCCTTCTCATGACATTACTGTTCTTTACGAAATTGAGAGGACGAAAAGCGAATGTCTGGCGCTTTAACCGGGTCGGTGCACACGGAAAGTCCATCTAGGGGAGTTGGAAAACCCTGATTCCAAACCAATGGTGCACATGGCCTCCAGTATCCTGAGGGAACAAATGGCGTATGAATCAATCGTCGGTCACCGGCTACCATGGGACTGCATCTCCTCACGATGCTCCACTGCCTTGTGGATCAGACCTTTAGGTCAAAGGCTCGGGGTGTGGCCCCCTAAGAAAACGACCTGCTTCAGTCTGGGCACCTGGGCAGTATCACAGCCCTCACACAAATCGAATTAGATTTGTGAGGCGCATATTTATCTGGTGCTTCCTTGTACCAATATTTATGTGTTTAAATAAATAAATAAAAATAATTCTTTTGTACTTGATTACCCGCTGATTTTGAATTCCGAATGCAATACGTTTATTTGTGCTCACATTATTCCATCTTCTCTAAAATGAACCATTTCAGAAATTTATAGTTAGCACAATGATTCCAATACATCTGGTCATCATATAACCTTGGACATATTAGCAGCATTTGCAATGCTGTTTCAGATAAGGCATCTTCTGTACGGGCACTAACGAAGACCAACTGTTTGATTCGCGTGTCGCAAATTTCTTAATTGTAATTTAAACTACTGGGTTTTACTAGGCAAGTGTACTTTCAGTAAATTCGAAAGCACTCAAATCACACTTGTTTCAAACATATCTAAAGGGGACCCGTTAAAATCCGTAATAGCCCATGAAAGTGGCAGTCGGCTTGAGTAAATGAACAAAATGAGTAGTGTTGTCTACTTAAAAATAATAAATTACTTCTATAGAAAGCTATGGCATCCAGGTTAGTAAGAAAACATTTTGTCCCAACGAATACATAGGACATCATCAATCAGGTGTTGGACAAAATATCACTTACTACTAAATGCCTCCACAATGTTATGCAGCTTTAGTTTAGGGTTAGTAACGAAGTAAACTCATAA